ATAAAAAAAAGATCGTTTACAGACCCCCGAAACGCCGGCTTCGTGTGGATGAGAGGCTGGTTTGGTGAAAAATTTGTGCGTTTAGGCCAGGGTTCGGCTTCGTGTGGACGGGGCCTGAGCGTCCAGAAAAAAGGCGTGCCTGAGCCGTTCAGCCTTTCTGAACATTTAAGCCGGGCGTACACTGTGCGATTTTTTGCCTTTTTCGAGCCGATTTTTCCAGTCGTGCGAGAATTATTCGATCGGGTCGACTTTCCGCCTGATCGTGCGTCGTGTAGTATACGGGGGCGTAACGAGGGGCCATCAGCCTCTCAGTGTGCATGGAGCGTCCTGGCGCAACTTCGAGAGGCGGAGCGATTGAGCAAACTCCTCCTAGTGGTGATCGGGAATTGCGCGGCGCTCCGTTTAAATGCTCTGCTCACAACAAAGCAAAAATACTCCAGAGAGGAGGGTGGATTTTTTTCCAGTGTGAGATTAAACAGAATATAATGAAATGTTTTTATTTCAAAGCTTTTTAATCATCATCTTTATCAAGTGTTCCCAAACTTTAGCATAAAATCTCTTTATAAAGTGAAACTAAATTGAACCTAGGTTTGATGCTTCTGGCAAAAAGTCTTGCATGTTTTGTGGTTTCATACTGGGTGTTGTTTTTACAGCTGAGGCAATAATTGATGTGATGGTGGATAAAATAATTGCAATGTTTCTGACTCTCTGGGTCTGATTGGTATTTGGTGGCAGCAATTAGATGCTTTCAGATATTTAGCATATTTTTAGTCTTTATCTTTGCTGCCAAACTATTTAACTTCACTATATATTTTCCATAATAAGTCAAAAAACAAAGAAAGCTTTATTTTACCCACTTTCATCATCCAAGTGTCCCTTTATCGGACCTTTATCTACACCAGAACTGGATGCCATTTATTTTCAGCTAAAATTCAACCAAAGGAAACATCCTGTGATTTTTTTAACAATGGATAAAAATAAAAACAATTTGACTTTACTACTATGGAAAAATGGCATTTCCCTTCAGTCTGGTGTTTAAAGGATAAAGAGTTCTGATTCTGTTCTTTCTGACTGATGTTTGTCTTCATTTCTCCCTGCAGTGCTGAGCTTCTAACTCCGCCTCCGCCTCCTCATCATGGAGAGGAAAACAGTCAATCTCTCCAGCTCTGTTGTTCCACTTTCCCCCCTCATATGTCTCCATGTAGAAACTGAAAGAAAAGCTCAAAGAAGAGAAAGGAGTTCGCTTTTGTTCTCAAACAGAAAGAAAACCCAACATTTTTAAGGTATGAGACCTTTAATCTCTTTCCAAGCAGACGTTGAAGCAAAGCACAGAAGAAGCTTCACAGTTTCACGTCTCTACGGATCATCAACCAGGAAGTCAACGTTTCCACAGTTTTGTAGCATTATTGCTTTAATGACGACGTGTTTGATTTGAAGTAAACCCCACCAGTGTGTTTTAGTTCCTTTAACTGTTGAATCTGTATGAACGCAGACGGATTACAGGTACTGCTTCTTGCAAAGCTTCCTGCACTCAGCTAAAGGACCCATAGGAGAGCACTGAAGGGTAGCAGCTGGAAGAAGATGAAAGCAATCTCCTCAGCCTTTGCTGGTTTCCTGTAAAATAAAAAAAAAGTCACAATCTCTTCCATTTTTCTCCAATTTCCAACCAAAGAAAGACGCTTGGATGAACATATGAGATGGAACAAGCAGGAACTCACATTTCCACGGCTAGCTGAAAGGTCTTTCCCGGATGTTCCTCCATGTTTCCCGCACCTCCTCCGCTCCCTCTCTCAGCGCTGAAACTGCTCCGCCTCTCTAGCAAATGTTGCATGGCATGAATTATAACAACTGAATCCAGAAAAACGCAATCAGAAGGATGAATAAAAATGAGATGTCATGGAGGGATTAAATCTATTTTTTTCTACTAAGTACCTTTAGAAAAAGATGCATCATTTGCCTTGAACCCCTTTGACTTGCTGGTGAAAAAAGAAGATATTGTACAGGAAACAGCACTTTCTGGAGACGTAATGAATGAAGACACGCGTCCTTTAAGTGAGCGAAGAGGAAGAGACGCCCTGCAGAACCGTTCTCCTCCAGGACGTGGAAGACGACAGAACAGCAGGTCATCAGCAATACTAGGAGAACATCTATGCTATGCTTCTCTAGGGACAGACATGACAATGACGAACAGGCATTGTTTACCAGCATGAATACTTTGCATGACTTCTGCAAGCCACTCTGATCTCTCCTTATTAATAACAGTTTGAAATATTCAAATGTGTTTACTTTGTGTTTAAAAACCACAGACTGTCTTTTTTATTTAATAAGATCTCGACGCTTAAAAAATGATGACAAACCAGGAGAGCGCTTCATCGTAAGAAGGAGACCCTTTCTTTCAAAAAAGAACAATGCAAACATTTATTGTGGTCGTACTGGACCGTCGTTCTGTTGCTACCACTACTTCCAACATGGCTGCTTTCCTCTTCCTCCTTTCTTTCTTCTTCTTCTTGTAGCCTTTTTCAACACCTTGGACTATCCGATGGCAGCTGTGTGTCTGTGCCAGTAACAGGCGAGCCTACCCGATCAGACTAAACTGTGCTTCCACTGATCGCTCGAGTGTCTGCGCTCCCTTTATCCTAATCTTCCTTTTTTTTGTTGTTTTCTCATCGTTTGGCTTCTGATTTCCTTTGGTTTGACTCTACAACGTCTCGGAAATCAGCTAAAATAACTCAAATACCATAATAAAGCTGATTTCTGGTGACATGAAGTGATAGAAAGGCCCTGATGGGAAACAAACACACTAATCTAACTGAGAAATCTGGCATGAAAAGGAGAATTGAAATATTTTTCTGATTATTAAAACTTTTACACTGCAAAAACGATCTAGAAATAAGTAAAGATTTCTTAAATTAAGTTTATTCACCCTTAATTTGAGTATGTAAATGAGCTAGTTTGCCAATTAAATGAGTAATTTTACTCTTAAAATAAGATAATTAGATAATATGCACTTGAAATAAGACAATGTAATTGTGTTTTCTTATTTTAAGTGTAAATTGTCTTGTTCCATTGGCAAAATGTCTCTTTTACCTCCTCAATTCAAGAACAAATGAACTTATTTTAAGAAAAAATATTTTGTTTTTTTTTGCAGTGTATTTACTTTATTCGCCTAAAGTGGTAAATCTAGATCAAGGATTTCCAAACATTTCAGTTTCTGACGCCAAAGATATCAAAACAACAGATTGGCCCTTTTTTAAAAGTCTGAAAATAGAAATTATGTCACTCTTTTGATTTAATATTGACATTCATTTTTATACAAACTTAATTTTCTGATATTAAATTCACGATTTTAAATGTATTTTAAGTATTTAATGCTACATTTCAGATTTTCATGGTATATTTAATACTTGAATCATGTGTTAGATACATTAATACATCTATTTACTTCCATACTCTTTATTCTTCCACAATGATTCAAGAAACCATTTCATGACCCCCACTTTGAGAACCTCGTTCGAGATATCCATAAATAAAGCTTTAGATCTAAAATAAAGACATATTTAAAGTAAATGTTGCTGCCAGCACTCAGAGGAGCTCGTTTCTTTGCTGTCAAACAGGCTTTGGAATTGCAGGGAGATTTTTAGTGAAATAAGATCAACTCAGATGTTTCCTGGTACCAGGCAGGCGTTTCCCCATACTGCTGCTTACTGCACCATAAACGTAGTTTGAAAATAAGTAATAAACACAAAAACAGGAAAGGTTTGGTTTCAGGAAGCTGAAGAAGAAGTTGTTGGTTTTATTGAACAGATCGTCTCTGCACAGTGCAAAAAAATGGAGTATTTTTTGCTTAAATTAAGTGCATTTTTTCTTGAATTGAGGAGATAAATGTAATACTTTGCCAATGGAAATAGACATTTTACATTTGAAATAAGAAAAAAAGAATTGCTTTGTCTTATTTCAAGTGCATATTATCTAATTATCTTGTTTTAGGAGTAAGAATACTCATTCCGCCGGCAGAGCATCTTAATTATCTGCTAAAATTAAGGGTAAATACACTCAATTTAAGAATTTGTTTACTTAATTCTAGATGGTTTTTTGCAGTGCAGAAAGGATCAGAACGGAGCTTTTTATTTTATTTTATGAGATTAGTTGCGTGTCTGAGCTGCTAATTTGTTCAAATGCGGCAAATTAATGAGATACTAGATGGAAAAAAGACATAAGAGGCAGAGATGTTGATTTAAAAAGTAAAAAAAAGAAAGGATGACTGGGAGAGACGATCAGTTTGGATGAAAACACAGATTAAGGAAAGTTTATATCAGAGAAACTTATTTTTGGTTCCATAATTTCACAGCATGATTTCTTCATGTTTTTCTGAGCCATGAGCTTCTCCTGACGGTGCTTTGAACATCAGCAAAGCTGTATTCAGCTTCAAAGTTGTGGGACAACAAGGAGGCGGAGCTTCTCCTTAATTAATGTTTTCAAATCTCCCCTTTTTTTCATAGTGAAAAAGTGGAGTTTGACCCTTTCATGCTCTGCATTCATCTCTGCTTCACCAACTAATGATGTGGAGTCATTTTCTGTGATCGAAGCCTTTCCACAGTCTGGAAATAATCCTGGGCAGCAGGAAGCTGATTAAAGTTTGGGTTAACGGGCAGAAATGGGGCAACAAAAGAGACGTGGTGCAGTTTTAAGCCCTTATATATAAAAACATTGGATTAGATGTGAAATCATCCTTTTTAAAGCTTCTTCTCTTCATAATGAACTGACTGCAAATGTTGATTCAGCTGTTTCAGACTTAAAACCACTGGAAAAAAAATCCAAATCTAGATAAGTAATTTTTTCTTAAAATAAGTGCATTTGTTCTTGCATTGAGGAGGTAAAAGAGACATTTTGCCAATGGAACAAGACAATTTACATTTAAAATTAGACAAAGCATTGTGTTTTCTTATTTAAAGTGTATATTATCTAATGATCTTATTTTAAGAGTAAAAATACTAATCCTATTGGCAAACTATCTAACTTACCTACTCAAATTAAGGGTAAATACACTTAATTTAGCAAATGTTAACTTATTTCTAGATTGTTTTTCCAGTGCATCGGACATTAGCTCATAGCTAGGTTGTTGATCGGAGCTCGGAGGAAAATATGCAGCAGCTCATGGGTTTGAATCTGGGTTTAATCTAGAGACGCTTTGGTTTGACCTGAAGTTTGATGATATTTTAAGTATTTTGTGCTTTTTTGTTCTTTTATCGTGAGGGTAAGCTTCGACACGCTGTCCAACTATGTAGCCTAATGCTACGTTCACGCCGCACGCACTTTGAGCAACAAAAAAGCTTCTGCTGCTTTATTTTTAAGGCTTGTCCACATTAAGGTCAGCCGTCCAGTAAAGTGAGTCCAGATGCTTCTGCTGCTCCAGATTACCATCCTGCCTTCAAAGATTATTTCTCTGTGGGAGCCGCTCAGACCCCCACATACCGGCGCTGCGCTGTCACTGGGAATCCCCAGCAGCAGCTGCCTCAGGCCCGCTCGCCTCTTGGGGGGTTTTCCCCTTCTGTTGGTGGCGGCTGGAAGTAGATGTTAGCGTTTTTCAAGTACGTAATCGAACTTGCAGGCACCAGGATAATAAAAGCCAACATATTTGGACATTTTACGGCGTTAATAAACTGTTTCAGAGGAGTGATCATAGCGCTCTGCATCAGCAGTGCTGCGTCTGACTCCCTGCCAGCTCCCAGATCAGCTTCTCTCATTGGCCGATGCGGCGCATCCAGAAGCTACAGTTCAGTTTTTCCAACTCCAGTATCTGCTGCTTGTGAAGCGCGTCACGTTCCTCAGAAGCTCATGAGGCGCTGCAGGACCTTATGACGCGCCCTGATGTGCAGCAACCATTGACTTAGCATGTAAAGCGGCTGCTTCTGCTGCCCAAAGCGCGTGCGGTGTGAATGTATTCGTTCCTCCCAAACTGCTTGCTTTCCTTAAATAAGTTCAGGAAATCATGTTGAAAAATGTCTTGGCAGTAATAAACAAAAATGTAAAATATTTTTCCTGCTAAGGGCTAAAGAAGTCTTTTTAGAATTGCAGTATTTTTGCTAAACATACTCTGATAGTATTTCCTAATTCTTTTGCATTGAAAGTTTATAAAAATATTGAGATCAGGGTGGATTCTGGGTAAAACGAACAAACATCTAGCTTTGTTGGTGGTCATACTGGAAACAGGTGAGCTTTGCACCTTTTAATGTGATGGAATAATTGCAATCTTGCTTCGGCGCGCAGAACGACGACTTTCAGGTTCTGAAATTTGGAAACAGGAGTTCAATGAGGTTTGCAAACTTAAAAGTTATGTCATATCTGCAAAACGTAAGCTGTAGCATTTAGTTCATATGCAACCAGGGTGGCTGAATGATTGCTTGAACTGTGTCATTTTATGTTGCTATTTATTGCAGTTTTCTTTGTATCAGATGCTTTTAAAAATGGCATAATGACAAAAAATCAGCAGAGAGCAGCTTTCTCAGGAATATTTTGTAATAAAAACCAGACATACAATGTGAAATATTATGATACTGCTGTATATATTTTCAAGAATGTCGAAGCTAACTTCAGATCAATAACCCGATTGTTTCAATCTGTTGATCTGGATCCGTCCAACTTTACTTGAAGGTCATATTTCAGTCTAAACTGTATTTAGCTGCCCCCTCAGACCGCACCAATGTGTTTAATATCGTGTAGGAGGAAACAAAAAAACACGACATGTTGAAGAAATCAAGCAAATGTCTCTTTCCGAATACTGTTTTGTCGCCATTTCAAGCAGAAAAACCACAGACGACATGTTTGTTGCATGGAAATATAAAACTGTGATCATAAATAGAGCAGTAGGTGCATCCATGGAGGCTAACAAGCATGCACTGAACATCCTGCAAAGCCTATGCAAGTACTAGGTCCAGCTTTTCATTAACACACCTGCTCACTAACGTCTGAGTCAGAGACTCTCACTAAGGCAACCCGAGCTTCATTTATTGGATTTTGGAAAAATAGGTTTGACAAAAAAAACTGGTTTTATACTTGCACAGTACATATATTTATATATATATATATTTATATGTGCCATGCTGTGCGTACAAATAATTTGCCATCATGTATATATATATATATATATTTATATGTGCCATGCTGTGCGTACAAATAATTTGCCATCATGTATCTTTGTTTGATTCAGTTAAGGAATAAATCACATCTTTGTTTATTGTGTAAACAAAGCAGATTTAATTTGTCTAGAAAAGGAGCAGTTTGGACAAAATGAGCCAAAGCCATTCAGTAATGTTTAATTTGGTTATAATGGAAGAACAAAGGCTTTATATTGATTCCTTTTAGCCTAAATCTCATCTGACGGTTTATCCCCGATTCCTAGTGAGCTTAATTATAGCCACGTCTTTTTGCTCCTGCAAAACGCAGCGATGCTGTGGGAGGCGGATTATTTTGGCTCTAAAGATGCTTTCCTGACTTGAAAGCTCAACGAAATCCTGACGTTTCATTTCCCCGTTTTTAAAATCTGATATATTAAACGATCAAAGTTAGTTTAGGCTCAGCATTTCCAAATGAAAGCTCAGTTGTTGTTCAGTTTTAGTAACTAAAGTTCGTTTTTTTTTTTAGGCAGAATTTTGAAGCTAAGAAACGGTTTTGTCAGCATTATCTGCTCCATATGTCTTCAGGATGAATGAAACTTAAAAAAGCTTTACCTGAGGCCTCTCTATGTCTTTAACTTCCATTTTTGTTGGAATTTAAGTGTTTTCCGTTGTTTCCTGTTTTTGATTCATTT